GGTGACAGGGATGAGCAGGAGGACGCAGGCCGGCGGGAGTGGTCTCTGAAAACGTGTGGGACGGGTCTGACTGCACAGGAAATCCTATTAGGCAGTTAGTCACCATGAAAAGCCTGAGATATTCAAATAAAATAAAAAATGGAAGAATTCTAAGCTCCAGGGATAACACGGAACTGTACAAACAGGAAATATAACTGCAGTAAACCAGTGGGCTCAGCAGGGACACCATCAAACTAATGCAAGTGCAGCTGGCACTCGGCTCCGAGCCTCCCTTTCAGCTCCACTTCGTGGCACTGGGTCCCCGTGGCCCCGTCTCAGCTCTGCCCTGGCTCTGCCGCAGCAGGGGAAGTGAGGGCGGGGGTGGGGCTGGGAAGCAGGGGCCGCCTCACTGCTCGCCACCTGTGCCAGTCGGCAAGGACGCCACAACAGAGCACCAGAAGCTGGGCACAAACAACAGAGATCTTTCGTCTCGCGGTCCTGGAGGTGGGCAGTCTGAGGCTGAGGCGTTGGCAGGTTGGTTGTTTCTGTGCAGGAAACTCTGTTCTAGGCTCTGGCCCAGCTGCTGGTGTGTTAGCCACCCTTGGCTTATAGAAGCATCACACTGATTTCCGCCGTCACTGTCACTTTAGTGCGCCTCCCCCCACTGTGCGCACAATTCTGTGTCCATGTCTCCCTTTCTATAAAGATGTCTATCATTCTGGACTAGGACCCATGCCTTCTGAACTAATTACACCTGCAATGGCCCTATTTCCAAATAAGGCCACATTCTGCAGCACCTGGAGCTTAGGACTCTGACACAGGAACTTGGGGGAGAGGACATGGGCCAACCACAGCACGCCTTGTGGGCCTCACCCCACACTGCTGCTCCACCTGGGCACCTGCCCCTTCCCGCAGCGGCCGCTGCTTCCGGTCTGTCACCTTCCCGTCATGTGCAGGACAAGCCCCCCGGTGCCCCTGCTCCCGCCCCGACACAGCGCCAGCCAGACGGCATGCCCTCTACAAGAGGCGCCACAGGACCTCCCTTACCTCCACGAGGCCTCGGAGCAGTGGTGTTCAAGCCTCAGAGGGCTGTAGAAGAGAAGGACCAGCGCCCACTCGCGGTCCAGACAACCGGAATCACTACAAGGACTCAGTATGACACGGACCACGGGGCCTCACCGTGACTTCCTGACTTAGTGGGTCTGAGATGGCCTGATAATTTCTATTTGTCATAAATTCCTAGTTTGTGTTGAAGCTGTAGGTCTGGGAACACACTTTGAGAACGTCACCTTACAGGTCAGTATTTACCCTGTCAGTTACCCCGTTAACTTATATCCAACTAACATCTGTTTACATTAATTTTCTGATCAATGGCTGGTGCGGCTTCTGACTGACACAGAAATGCACCAGGCAGGGTTCTGGGGACAGAGGGTTTGGGACTGGGCTCATGTCTTTGGGCCTGAACACAGTGCTGAGCTCTTGGTCAGCAGAGAAGCAGATCCCCATGGCCCTGGGCAGGCAGTGACATCAAGATGGTATAAGCATCACCTGTGAGTGTGTTGTCCCCACCCCTGTCCCCACCACAGTACAAGGTCCAGGCGGCTGCTGCACCAGCTGTCACTGCAGCAAAAGGAACACAGGATGTGGTGTGGGCAGTCCTGCCAGGGTGCCGGGGCTCGGGCAGAGGGGAAGACACCCTCAGACCGGGACCCTCAGTCACTGAGAACCCGACAGTCTGTACGGCAGCCCTAGAAGCCCCTGTCCTGTAGCTACTGAACTGCTTCCTAACTCCAACACAAACTATAACCCTGCAGCCGCATCACCGCCATTCAGTCCATAGTCTTGCCGTCTCTGACGTGAGTGCAACCCTGGAGCCCAGCACAGGGACAGTGGCTGGACTCAGACAAGCCAAGATTCCTGGATGCTCCGAGCCTCCCTTGACAGTGGAAACCGCTGTCTCTATGGGGTCAGCACTGTCCTTTGCTTGGAAGCCCAGTAACGTGTTCCCGGGCAGATGCCTTGCCCGGGGTCATCCATTCCCCAGACAACCACATCCACTCTGCTGGCGGGAGGTCATGGCCTGGTGCAGCAGCGATCCCCCTGCCCAGTGAGACTTGCCTGCCCCTGCCCCCCAGGCCACTCTTGCGAGGTCTTTTGGAAGCAACGCATACCACGTGTGAGTGCTTCTCTGACACGTTTACTGAGTGACCTGTGAAAGCTGTTTTCAGGGGAGCCCAGAGCAAAGGCCCTGCAGCAAGGCCAGGCTCCTTGTCCCCACTGGCCTGCGACCGACGAAGGCGGTGCTGGGGGTGCTGAACGAATGTTGGCAGGCACCAACAGGTGAGCCACTGGGTTTTGGGGAAAAAAACCAAACAGCAAAACACCATGCCTTCTTCTGCAGTTAATTCTTTTCCTTCTGAGAAACAGTTTCTGGCTCACCACCAACCCTGGGAACAACTTGGGTTGAGATGCCAAGTGACCAGGCACCTGTGCCCCATTCCGACTGGGTGGCATCGGGCCGTCCAGCCCCAGCGCCGGGCTCCACGGCATTGGCCACAGTGGAGGTGTCTGAAGGGAGGTGCCCGCTCGGGCCAGGCAGCACCTCGTCCCCCTCAGTCACACTTCAGCCTGGGCTCCCACGACCCTAACTGCTGAGAATGCCTGGGCCGGCGCTGCAGACGCCCATCACCTAGGCGGCCAGGGGCGGGGGACAGCGGGGACAGGGGGCCGACAGTGGATGGGATCCGGACATGCATCAGGTGCCCAGGTCGTCAGGCCCGAGGCCCCATGCATGGCAGACACGGCACAGCGCCGTGTCACAGTCCCGCCTGGGCGTCTTGGGGCGGGCGGCCAGCACACCGCCCCTCCCCGCTGTCCGAGTCGCCTCTGGCCGTCTGGACCTCCGTTTTCAGTTTACTTGGAAATGGCTGACTCTGGTTCCCCAGATGAGTTGTGTCTTTGCTACTCTGTACCCTCAGAATAACCTGGTCGGTATATAAATATTGTTCCGCAACTTGCTTTTCTTTTAACTTAAAAACAAGTATATTCTCGACATCTTTTTCATTCTTAGAGGCCCCGTGATATCCTATCACACACACAATCTGATCAGGCGGCCTCTCACCGAGGGTGTTCTGACCGTTTCTGGGCCGCGCTGTCTCCTGCTTGCTTCCCTCGCCCTTGAGACGTTTCCACGGCTCCTACTGCAGCCGTGTCTGCAGAACGGTCCACGCACCCCTTTCAAATACATCATTCACTTTGCTGTAACCAATGCCAACCCCCCCATTTCCATGGTAACTAACTTTAGCTCCTTTAAAGCCTACAGCCTCACAGGATTCCTGGCTTCCAGGAGACGATGCGCACAGCTTCTGTTAACCAGGGAAGTGATATTTACTGGAGTGGTGACCTCCGATGATCCACAAAGCATCCCATTTTTCATGTATTACTCACTTTGGCAAATTTCTAAATTCAGGAAAAAGTCAATTTCATGGCAAGGGAAAAGCTGAGTAACAGTGAAAGCAGACACAGGTCGTACCAGCTGTCACTTGCTTTTCTGTTGGTGGAAAACCAATGGTCAGGCCTTTTGGGGGATGGGAGTGAGGGTGAGATGGGCTGACCTAGTTCTTTTTTGGGGAATCCAGAATTTCTAATTATTTTACTGTTGAAATCTGTATAGTTACAGTGGTAGAGACCAAATTTCTTAAAGTCACTGTTGGCCACTTTCCCTCTGAAATCGTATTTGGTTGCTTCTCTGTCTTCTTTGTGTCAAAGAGTCAAGAGTTGCAGAAGGGACCTTGAAGATTACCTGGTCCAAAGTGGATTTAGCAAAGTCACAGGATACAAGGTCAGTTTACAAAAATCAAAAACAATTGGAAAATAAAGAACAAAGCTATTTTTATATTCCCAAGAATTCTGTGTAGCAGACACAATGCAGGCAAAGTGGCCCCAAGAGCCCAGGTGTCCTGTGAGGACGAGCTGCAGGGGCGGGCTGCTGGGGGTGCCAGCAGACCAGGAGGGGGAGGGCAGGGAGGGGTCCCAGAGCGCTGGGCAGAGCTGGGCACACATCTCCCAGGACAGCCCTGGATGAAGCTGAAAGAGGGTAGGGTGAACTCACAAGGGCACTCTGCCCCCAGAGTTCTGCTGAGGGATGGATGGAGGCCACCCTCCCGGCCTTTGCCTGAGAGCCACCCCTGCAGGGCCTCTGCCCCCCTCCTCCCCTGGTCTCTTAGGGGCTCTCCTGGGAGTACACCCTAATAAAACACTGACTTCCCGTGAATTCCTGGCTCAGCAGCTACTTTTGGGGAACCCAAGTGAAGGCAATTTTGCTTGGTAAAGATCTATGTGTAAATTTACACACTAAATGCACACATGTCTACATGTATATGCACACGTATTTCATTACACTGGATATACTCTGACCGTTACATTGAATGTGTTATTTAGGACTTCTCATATATGATTTGTGTAAGTCATACTGGTATAAAATGAGCTGCAATACCAAAATAATCAGGTTCAAATTTTCTGTGAAGAGAGGTCAATAAAGTTCTCTCCATCAAGAGATTATCCACTTCAGTAATTTTTTCTTCTTAACTGATATTATTTCAACTTCATTTTTCTACTAAATAACTAGAAAAGACCATCAGGATATGCTGTGGGAGGTGGCACAGCTTAATGGTTACAAGCTCAGGGTCTACACGCATGAGACAGACCTGTGTTCAAATTCCAGAACCTGTCGCTCACCAGCTCTGCAGATTAAGTTCTTAAATTCTAGAATTTGTGGATTCAGCTTTGTGATTTAAGTTCTTTAACTACAGAACTCGTGTTTCTTTATCTGTAAAAGAGGGTGGCAACAGCACACCCCTTAGTAGGCTGCCACGACGGCCGAGAGTTCAGAGCAAACCTCGACATGATGCCCGATGTGCAGAGAGGACCTGACACCCACTGTGGGGGCTGCTGGATTCAAATCACCTTATGGAGCACCATCCAAATAACATCCCAAATTCAGGAAAACTGGGCACACTCACTTGTAACGTGGTGTCAAAGACAACAAGCTTTGAGCTGGTTGGAACGATGTCATAACACTTGTGAGACCTCATGAATCGCATGTAAACGCCACTTTCTGAGTCTTCTGCTAAAAAGGAAAGGAAAAAGGCAAATATCAGTGATAATAGAGAACTTCCTCTATCAGATGAAGAGAATGCATGGAAAACCTAACAGACTTAATGGAAAATAAGAAATGCTTTCCCTGTAAGAGTGAGAAGCCGTTCCATTCAGCACTGCACTGTCCTCGCTGGTGCAGTAAGGCAAGGAAGAAACAAAGGCATGTGGATGGAAAAGGAAAGAGCAAAACTGTCTTTATTTGTAGACTGTATGATTTTCTACATGGAAAACACCAAAGAATCTACAAAAAAGTTTCCAGATCTAAAAAAAGAGTTTAGCAAGGTCACAGAACGCAGTTAATACAAAAGAAAAAAAACATGCTATTGTATTTCTATATACTAGCAACGAACAAGTGGAAGTTTAAAGGCATCATTTACATAAACATGAAGTGGAATATAGATTCACACAAAGAGGAGAAGAGCCTTCAAAGCAGTAACTATGTGAACAAATATATATGATGTTGCCTTTATTATTTAAATTTCTGTAGAGGTTAGAGGATAGTTGGCTGGAGCAATGCCAACGTACTGTGACCCCAGAGCTGTGTGTAGCTGGAGGATGGCCCAGCACCCACTGCCTGCAAGGATCTGCCCCCCACCCTCCGGGTGCAAAGAACACGTGTCCAAGAGACTGACAGCTCCGCTTCGCCCACACCAGCCTGCACACTGGGGAAGATTTACATTACCCGGGAAATACCCAAGAAAAAATATTACTTTATTATACATGCTAAATAAGTGTTAGCAAAATAAGTTAAACAGCACGGTACCACCACGTTCCTCGTTACTCCACTTCCCACAGTGGTCAACACTCCGTGTCTGCTGACTGGTTTGCTAATTTCATGACACACCATGTGAACCGCTCCGAAATCTCTACTTTCATTCTGACCTCTTTTCAGAGAACTGTAATTCATAATTCCACCACTCCCCTCACCTCCTGGACAGCGATCTTCTCGCATACCTCCCCTGCTGCTCGTGGGATAAAGTCGGACAACCAGGTCTGGCCTTCACGAACCTCCGTGGTCTGGCTCCTCCGCCACCTCCTTCTCCCACTTGGGTTCTCACGCCCAGGCACACAGCTCCCGGCTGCGTTCCCTCCTGTCTTGAATCTCACTTTGCTGCATTGGTTTGTCCTGCTTTAATTTAAACTTCCTTCTCTACTGCTTCTTGCTCAATTTCAACCCAACCTCAAGTGCCATCTTCTCCACAAAAGCAGCGAACACCGAGGTGCTTGCCACGGACCAGGCACTCCTGGACTGTGACACCAGGTTGTACCGTAAATTTCCTCAGTTAATTTCTGTGGCAACCTTACGGCGTGGGCCTCCATTTCTTCACTTTCCATAGGACCTGACTAAGCAACTCGCCTGAAGTCAGACTTGGGAAGTGACCAGAGCGGGACTGAATCCATGTCCACAACTCCAACACTCCCCTCACAAAACCTCTGCCAGTTCACCCGGTCTCGGACACATGCGTCCCACAGGCACCTGTGGGGCTACTGTCTGCTTGACACTGTCCCCAGACCAGACACGAGGTGAACACAGACACGGTCTCTGTGCTCCGAGCTCACGAGTTGGAGAACTAGGGCACCAGGATGTACCACGTGAGAGGAGAGGTCCTGGATGGCAGAAGCACAAGGCAGGACCCAAGCCTGAGCTGCGCAGGTGAGGAAGCAGGTCTGCAGTGACCTCTTCCTCTGAAAACATACGCGCCACCGGTGCAGCTCTGATGGTCTTCTTCCCGGATGATAATTTCTTTGACCAGGATCTTCCTCATTTATTAGGTTAATTAATTGTCAATTCCTATTTATTGACCATGGTTTTAGTGTGGGTTCTCCCAAAGCCGACCCTGAGACCAGGGGAACTGAGACAGGGAAGGAAAAAGTCCAAAAGGGAGCCCCCGTAAGCAGGCCACAGCCCCGTGCAATGAGCCACAGATGCTGGGGACCCAGAGAGACTGTGCCTGGCCTCCGAACTGGCTCCTCGTCAGGACCGCCCCGCCCTCTGATTAGAGGCTACCCTGGGGCATTACCTCTGGCATTCCTGCCCTGCGCCCACAAGCCCTGCTCCAAAGAACACCCTCGGGCAGAGGTGTTCAAATAAGAGAACTTGGATGCAGGGGAGGCACTGAAAGCATCTGCTCCCAAGAGCTTCTGCTGTGCTAGAGGCTGGGGTCCCTGGGGGCCCAGCATACATGCCGCTGCCCTGCAGACACCACCGACAAGTGGAGGAGAGACATCGACTTGACGGTCACTACACCGTCATGAGCGCTATCACAGGACAAGTCTGGGCTTATGAATGGATGGATGGAATTTAAGTCGGTGTGCTTCCATTTTTCTCGAAACATTTATCCACCGGGAAATAGGAGTCTTGCACAGATAAGAACCAGAACACTGCCGTCACTGCTCCCACACTGCCAGGATGCCGATTACCATGCTGCTGAACGAGTCGTTTCCCGGGAGCATGTTCAGCGGGGGATTTACGCACACAGGGCTCAAAGAGCAGTGCCGTCAAGCACACGCTTAACTAGCGCTTAAGTTACAAACTGTCGGTCAGACCCATACCCCTAAAATTCAAATGAATGAATCAAGAGGGAAAGTAATAAAATGTAACAGCCCATCTCCCAGAAAGGAACCCTTACAAGATATTTTGTCCATTAATTAAATCAAGAATTTTCGTAAGAGACGTGCATGTCTCATAGATGTTAATATCACGACAGAACTATCTGAAATAAAATCTTAAAATACTATGAAAACAAATATTCAAACTTTTAGAATTTTTAAAACTCAAAGTTTTGGGTTAAACATATTTGGGGGGCACCAACTTAAATTCCTGTTGATTTTTAAAAATATTTAAACATTTCATTTGGAATAGTTTTTGCTTTCCAGGAAGGCTGTGGAGACAAAGCAGGCCCCTGTGCACCCCACACGGGGTCCCCTGAAGGCAACAGCTGATGCTACTGTGGCGCATTTAGTCACCACGCACCACAGCCTGCCCGGGACAGGACGGCTTCTCAGCCCTTCCTTTTCTCAATGACCCGGACAGTTTTCCAGGGGTGCTGGGCAGGCGTTCTGCGGGCTGGCCCTCATTTTGGATCTGTACGTTGTTTTTCTCGTGATCTCAGTCGTGGGGTCATGTGTTCTGACGGGAAGACCGGAGAGTGAAGTGCTTTCTCATCCCACAGTTAGAGGGTACCTGCCACCAACACGACCACCCGGCCCGGGTAGGCTCTGTTGGTTTCCCCACCACAGTTCCTCTTCCCCTTCTCTCGTGCTGCAGTCTTTGCAGGGAGGTTGCCCCACCTCCCTGAGGGCGAAGCAGCTACATAAACCATCTGGACCTCTTCTGTGCGGGAGAGCTGTCTGTCTGTCTCAGCACAGACTTGCTGTCTCTCTCGCATACTCTGAGTCACATACAGGCCATGCCGCGTCAGGACTGGTCGGAGGCTGTGCTCCAGCCGGCACGTGTCCTCTCACGTCCACCCAGGATGTCTGTGCTCACACCTGTGGCCCCCAGGGGTGTGGAGAGTGGGGCCCTCGGGGTCCCCTGGGACCAGAGGGTCCCTCGGTTCTCTCTGGAGCATCACCAGCCCCCAGGTGATAAGACATGTCTCCTCGGTCACTAGAGTCTTTCAAGTGTGGTATGTTTGTTACAATCATGCAATTTCCTTAGTTTTTATCCCTCCAGGACAGCGCATCACACGCAGCCCAGCTCCTCAGGCTCCTCCGGCTGTGACAGTTCCTCACACCCTGATCTGACGGCCTCAGCAGTTCTGAGGAGCACTGGGCAGGCACTTGCGAGGATGCCCCTCGCCTGGAATTTGATGTTTTTCTCCAAGGGGCTCTGGGTTATGAGAAGGGTCTATAACATTATTTTTTAAATGTAAAAAGTGTGACCAAAAAAAGCAAGAAGCTGAATATGTAAAACAGATGACAATAAAATGCACTGTGGTTTGTAATAAGGCTAGATTATTACTGATGTAATAACATCGGTGACAAAAGTGTTGGTGTTTTAAGTTAGGAAAAGAAAATAAAATATTATAAAATACCATTGCTTCTCCACATCTAGGATAAACTTCCTGATTAAATGGCACCTTGGTGTTATTTTTATTATGACGAAGTCTCAAATTGTACTTGAAGGACGAAATGCATTGAAGTATAAAGTAAGAGTAATTTGGAGTTGAACCAACAGGGAGAAAACCAGATACTCCAAACCATTCAACGATAACAGATTATTTGGAATAAATTCTTAAAATTCCTGAGCAGGCAAGTTCCAACTCTCACTATTCAAAGGCAGCTGGGGTTAAGAGAGTATGACAGTGTCCCACTCTCTGGTGACTGTGTCCGTCCCTAGTCTCACACTGGCATCTGGGTCACTGGTCCATGAAAGCAGCATGTCCGTGGAATGATGTCACATCTTCCAATAATATGCATCATTCTCTGCGGGAGCTGTTAGTAAGCACCGCTGGGAAGTGGAACGTATATGTTAAGGCGTTTGATTGGTGAAGGTTAACAAAACAATCTGGAAAATGCAACATCTAAGTTTACATGCCGACAGTTCTACACATTCAATAGGAAAGGGTGGCAGTAAGTGTTTCTCTCTCTAAAAAGCAGGTGTGATTACACACCACCCTTGACAAGTCCTCACTCAGCACAGTACACCACGTCACTCACAGCCACCTCGTGCTACCACACCCTCTAGGAAATTTTTCATGTCCTAGGATACTTCCTTCTCAAAGGAAGCCTGGAACTCTAGGAACCTGTCCTTGTGTCTGCCTCTGCTCTGCGCACAGGTGCTCTCGTCCCGTCCCATGTGTCCCACTGAGATCCCACCTGCCTTTCTGAGGTGGGCTGAATAGTGGTCCCCAAAAGATATGTCTACCTGGAGTGTCAGAAGACCTTAGTTGGAACAGGGTCTTTGCAGGTGTAATTAAGGTAAGGATCTTGAGTTGAGATCATCTTGGATTATTAGGTTGGGTCCTA